GGATTGTTGGCAGCAGGGAGCAAACCTAGGACCTCTTGATCTTAATGCATAAGCCTCTTCTGCCAGAGCTAGAAGATGCATTTCTCTTAGCCAGGGCTGTAACAGGCTCATCAATCTCTCTAGCTGGTCTAGCCACTACTAGACGGGGGCAGAGTGCCACACTGAGCGGGCATGGCTTACACATACGTTTACACAGCTTGCATCTAAGGCATCTTTAGTTCTAGAATTGTTGTTCTTTATCCAGACTGAAATACCCTTGTGCTATATGAGAAATCAGGCATCACAGTTTTCTGCACAGGAGACACGTCTGAGTTCTCCCTTTCTGCAGTTCAAATACAATAAAAGAGTAAGAAGAATACCAAAACAAGAATATTTTAAGTATATTGTTAGTCAGCAGAAGCATTATAAGGAACTCATGAGACTTGAGTTAATTCAGAGGGGATAACTCCAACAGAAGTGCCTCAGGTGGAGAAGGAAGTGCAGAACAAAATCAATAATTAGAATAAAGAGAATGCTGTCTGCTTCTGTCTTGGTTTTTTTTTTTAACACAGCATGCATGTGTGTTTCATGCTTGTAGGCCTGGAAAATGTGAGGTACTTGAAACAGAACAGTTTTACACTTTCTTAGGGAAGACTGGTACAAGATTTACACTTGTGAAATGTAGCTCCACCATTCCAAAATCGTTTAGGTTCACAGTCAAGTTTGTCTTCACTGCTGTAAAAATTATTTATTAATAGGATAATGCTAAGCATTATGGCTTTCCTGAGAGGCTAAAAGAAATTGCCAACATGTTTCAAATGCAGCTTCTTTGGATGAAAAGCATTATCTAGTGTCACTGGGCACCCCTCCTGGAATGCCCTCCTGCTGCAGGCTGCGGCATAAGTGTGCCTGCCTCAGTTTCCCTCCTTCAGATTCCCCAGAAATAGTACAAAGCATCTTCCCAAGTATAAATATAGTACTTGTTGGGTTCATTTATTACAAGAGTCCTGTGCACACAAGTCATAACAAAAGTCCCATAGTTCAGAATTCCCCCAGCATAAGCCAAACAATACATGCAACATACCGCCTTGGCATCTCTCACCACGCCCTGGCTCTTCAGTGCAGTCCTGTCCTGTTCTTGTCCCATGACAACCACCCCAGCCATCCAGCTGGAGTGCAACCCTGCTCTTTCCGGCGGGAACTTGCCTGGGGAGCATCCATTACTCCCCCAGGTCCTCTTACAGTTCCTATGGGTCCCACTCTCCAAATCTGGCAATGTCAGTGGGTAAGCGCCTCTGCTGCTCCCCTGCCTTCAGAGCTCTCTGGCCCTTGGCTCTGGCTTAGAGCTAGCAGGCAGTTCCCTTCGCACTTGCTGCCTTCAGCCTTCTCGCAGGAACCACCTTCTGCTTCTTTCTGGGACTCCTCCAGTCCCCTGCTCTCTGGCAACTCTCACCTGCCCCTGACTGAACCAGTCTGCTCTGAGTCACTGGAACATCCTCTCGTTGAGTCTCTTCCTCATCCTTCATAGCCCACAGCGTCTGCCCCACCCTCTCAATTGGCCAAACAAGGAATACTTGTTCTGGCACAAGGGAACTGGACCTACTTCATTTACAGGGGCCAGCCACCCTGTGACACCTAGTTTATGTAATAGTGCAACTTTCTTGTAGCTATGCTAATTTTCCTGCAAAACTCAAAGATGTATCCCACCTCAAAGGAACAATTAACAATTGTAGCAGTATAGACCAAAGGTCCATCTAATCCAGGATCTTGTGTCTGGCCAATGGTGGATTTTTTTAAAAAATGCATAAACTTACTGTGATGCTCTGTACCGCGGGGGAACACCCTACACACCCATGTTCATCTTTATGAAATGATTGTGTGGTATCCAATGCAAAGTTTGTCATGTTGGGTGTCTTCGGAAGGCTCTTAATGCACTGAGCATGGTTGATATAGTGATGTTATAGTAATTGTTACAGTAATGTTATAGTAAGGTTATAGATTATAATTTCATGTTGTCAAGGCTGCTTCCCCACTCTGAACTTTAAGGTACAAATGCATGAAAACTTCTAAGCTTAACTACCAGCTTAGATCTGGTCTGCTGCCACCATTCCCAAGTGGATTCCCTTCCCTGGGAAGCCTTGAG